TGCCTTACAGAAACATTTCTCACTCCGGCCGTCAATGACTTGCAGATTACGATTGACAACTACAACCTTTTACGACTTGACTGAGGGTCTAAAGGAGGTGGAATTGCCATATATGTTCGTAGTACTACTGCATGTTCACCAGCTCATTCCTTGTTCAAGAAATATTGCTTTGAAGGTCTGGCTCTCAGAATCACTCTCTAAAAATCAACAGATATTGGTAGTGTGCTGCTATAGACCGCCTAGTGGTAAGGATGTTGAAGATGGGAATGCACTGAGGGAGCTTCTTGGGGGCCTTCCTAAAGGTGAAATCATTTTAATGGGTGATCTCAATTGGAATTGGCTAAACCCACCGGCCGTGGCCACAAATTTTAGAGATCAATTTACCCTATTTCAATTAATAAATGTCCCCACAAGACCCAACCTAAAAAACCCGGGACAGTCATCTCTGCTTGACGTCCTATTAACAAATGCCCCTCACAATTTCGCGCTGACTGGTGTTCTGGGTAATAACCTTAGTGATCACTCCTTTATATTTGGGGTGAGATCATCAGCCAGACCCAAAGCCCCCCCTAAATTGGTTGAGAAGCACTCCATGAGACACTTCGGCCTTCAGGCATTTACTAATGATGTGCTTCACTCGGATATTGACAAGGTCTGTGATATCCCCAACCTGACTACGGCTTGGGAGACCTTCAGGTACACGTTTCTCCAAATTCTTAACAAACATGCTCCGTTGGTTAGATTTAAAACTAAAGGCAACCGCCCACCATGGTTTGATCCCTTGATTACAAATCTCATGAAAACTAGGGACAAGGCTTGGGCATGTGCTCAGAAAAGTAATTTGGTCCATGACTGGCTCGGATACAGGATTTTAAGGAATAGATGTGTCAAAAAAATACGGCATGCAAAAAATGCATACTTTTCCTCCACTCTCCTGGAATCACATGAAAATGCCAGGATCTTCTGGAAAACAATCAAAAGTATTGAAAAGGCATCTAACACAGATAATCTGCCCGTTGAGCTTAACCGAAATGGGGAATATTTTTCAGAGCCCCAAAAAATAGTTGACAATTTTAACCTTCGTTTTTCTGAAGCTTGTGACCTTTTTTGATAATGTATTGGGAGTCACCCCAGCGCATGCAAATTCCTACACCCCTGTCCAAACATTAAACGAATTTAGTTTCCAGCCAATCCACAAAAGTAATGTTCTGAAACAACTGTCCTACCTCAAACGGTCCTCCTCTACCGGAGCAGATATTATTCCCGTCTTTGCTCTGCTAACTGTTGGTCACCTAATATACAAACCTATAGCCCATATTTTCAACCTGTCCATCAAAGAAGCATCAACACCTCTGGAATGGAAACATTCATATGTTCGTCCACTTCACAAAGGGGGCCCTAAAGATGATCCAAATAACTACCGACCTATCTCAATTTTGTCCCCGTTGATGAAATTTTAGAAAAATGACTGAACTACCAAATTAGCAGTTTCCTGTTCGACAACAATCTTTTACATCGAAAACAATCTGGGTTCCGAAAAAAATACAGCACCACATCTGCTGCATTAGACTCTCTGAATTACATTTACAGTAGCCTTGATAATAAGCAGTAATGCGCCAGTCTTTTTCTTGACTTGTCCAAAGCCTTTGATACAGTCGACCACAACACCCTGCTTAGTAAACTAAGTTGCCTTCGTTTTCTCCAAATACGCAGTAGACTGGTTAAAAAATTACCTCTCTTTTCGCACCAAAACTGTACTCACAGATGGTTGGAGGTCAAACAGTGTTAAGATAACAAAAGGGGTTCCACAGGGTTCAATCCTTGGCCCCCTCTTGTTCTCTCTTTATGTCAATGAATTTGGCACTGACCTGGATCATTCCAGGGTAAATCTTTTTGCAGATGACACGATACTGATTACTGCTGGCCGCTCTCCGGATGACGTGATTGCTAAGCTTCAGGGTGATTTCAACAAACTACAACATCAGCTAGTTGCTCTTAAACTAGTCCTGAATACCTCCAAAACCAAGGTGCTATGCTTCTCACCAGGACTAAAGCAGGAAGTTATTTTTCCCCAATTACATTCCTTAAATAATTATCAAATAGAGCAAGTTAAGATCTATAAGTATTTTGGGGTCATTCTTGATTCAAAACAGAATTTTGAAGATCACATTGATTATATTGGTAAAAAGACAAAAATAAAAATTGGTTTTCTGTATCGACACAAGCACTGCTTCCCCCCTATGTTCCAATTGGAATTGATAAAAGCTACCATACTGCCTCTACTTGATTAATGTGACATCGTGTATAAATCAGCTCCAAGTACTGTACTGAAGAAGCTTGACTCAATGTATCACTCAGCCTTAAGATTTGCATTGAACTGCCCATATAGGACTCACCACTGTGATCTCTACATTGGGTCAAACTTAACATCTCTCAATGTTTGACGGCTTGTGCATCAGATAGTATTTATTCATGATGTACTTACAAAAAAATCAGCAGATTACCTGCTGGATCTCCTCTCTGTTTCAAAGAACAAATTTGACCTAAGGTCTTCGCTCATTTACCAGCTTCACATTCCCTATTGCCCTACAAATACTGGAGGAAGGGCCTTTGCTATTGATGCCCCCAGGGTCTGGAATGCTATTGCCAATAAACTGCAATTTGAATCACTACCTATGAGATCTTCACTCAAAACTGCTCTAGAGGAGTTGTACACACCTAGCTGTCACTGCTATTTAGTGGCCTAAAATACAATGTTTCGCTCAGGATGATCGCTGCAAAGTATGATCTGTGTTTTGATTTAGTGTGCGGATCTTAAAAGTGCATTGAAAAATCTTAATCTTGGAGCTTACGTGACTGCAGGAATTATTCTTTGGTTCTTTCAGTAAAGTCACGTATAAAGATAAAATAATCAATTAAACAATATCATACTACGACGTTTCGATTGCAACACAAGCAATCATCATCAGGTATAAAAGAAATAGCAACAAAAATCTAACCAGAAAACTATAGACAGACATATAAGCAGACAGATATCACAAAGATACACAGAGAGAGAACACGTATCGGCACAAAGAGAGAGGGATCGTCTCTGTGACGAGACCTTAAATATAAAGAGGGGGCGGGGGCGGAGAGAGGGAGGGGGCAGAGAAAAAATTAGCATGTCAATGAGTGGACGACGCCGTGGTACGGTACACGCAAGCTTGAAAATTAAGAGAAAGACACAGTAAAATTAAATAACCTAGCAAAATATCGAAATGTAATGTAATGCAACACAGAGAGTCGGTCAACACACAATTAACGCATAGCCTGGTTGTACCTGATGATGAATGCTTGTGTTGCAATCAAAACGTCGTAGTATGCTATTATTTAATTTATTATTTTATCTTTATACGTGACTTTACCGAAAGAACCAAAGAATAATTCCTGCAGTCACGAAAGCTCCAAAATTAAGATTGAACCACTTCTACGGGGAAGTTTTAAGCTTATCTTTTTTCCTCTCTCTCTGGTTTTTTGTTTTCTCTCTCTGCCTGTGTCCTCTGTTTGGAATTTTCACACTTAAATACTAACTTAGCAATCTTTGAAATACGTAATCAACCAGGCTATGCGTTAATTGTGTGTTGACCGACTCTCTGTGTTGCATTACATTACATTTCGATATTTTGCTAGGTTATTTAATTTTACTGTGTCTTTCTCTTAATTTTCAAGCTTGCGTGTACCGTACCACGGCGTCGTCCACTCATTGACATGCTAATTTTTTCTCTGCCCCCTCCCTCTCTCCGCCCCCGCCCCCTCTTTATATTTAAGGTCTCGTCACAGAGACGATCCCTCTCTCTTTGTGCCGATACGTGTTCTCTCTCTGTGTATCTTTGTGATATCTGTCTGCTTATATGTCTGTCTATAGTTTTCTGGTTAGATTTTTGTTGCTATTTCTTTTATACCTGATGATGATTGCTTGTGTTGCAATCGAAACGTCGTAGTATGCTATTATTTAATTTATTATTTATCTTTATACGTGACTTTACCGAAAGAACCAAAGAATGCATTGAAAAATGTTGATACTCCGACTGATGCTCCTACTGTTGTGGAGTGACTCATGCAGCCAGCTATGGCTGCAGAGTTTGGTAGTACATTTGTTTACGTCGTTTATTGTGAAAATTCGGTCACAGTTCCTATGACCACTATTTCATTGCTTTTATGGCTTTATTTTGGTAATTTACGAAAAGTTTTTTGGTTTGGCCATGTTTGTTTGTTGTCGTACAGAGTTAGACTGATGGCCTAAATCTAAGTTGTCTTGTGGTTGTTGTTGTTGTTTGACTTGCATCCCACTGGGATTTTTGCACAGTGTTGGTGTACAGTGCTTTTCTGCAATATTTTGCTGTCTTTTCTTGGATTTTCTGTTTGCACATAGTCACTTTAAGATGTTTTCTTGTTCATGTTTTTGTTTTTTGTTTGTTGCGGTTGCACCCGATTCAAGAGCCGAATGGCTCACAGGGCTGTACCTAATAAATGAACTTGAACTTTCATTAATTTTGCTTTTACCAAATCCCCGCATCATCACAGATTAGCTCGCCATTGCTTCCTCTCATCAATTTAATTAACTTCATCTCCACAATTACATTCATATGTTGTTGTACCGTTATTTCTTTGTAAAGTGCCTTGGTTAAGGCACTATATAGATTCCTTTATGATAAGATTAGTGTGCAAAAAATGTTCTTGTCCGAGATTTGTGCTCGAGATACGTATTTATTAATACATTTAGAGCAACCTCCCAGCTTACCCAAAGTTTCAGCTCACTCGAGTGCGGCTTAGGAGGTTTCCCCAAATGTGATGTTTCTACCATTTTCATCAGAGCCATCATTTGATGATAGATCGTGTAACACTAATCTTGCCAAGAGGCGATGAACAGAAAAGCCAGCACTGTCGGCTGGTGGGGGCTGAGGTGCTGCTGCGAGGCTTCGCGTCCGCGTTGGGTGATTGCACTTGCACCAAGTCCATACCGGAGTCCAACACGTTGCGCAAAGCCCTCATCCACCAGCATCTTGCTCAACAACTGGGCCGGTTCCACAAAGAGGTGCACAGACACGTGATTGCCACTTTTGTTATCTGGACGACAAAACCACACACACATCACACAATGGGGAAGAAGACAGGGGTTTAAAAACATCTGGTCACACCGCAGGACTGCAACCGCGTAGCAAAGATGGAACAGGGGTAAACAAGAGAAGTATCCTGGATCCAACTAAGGAATGTAATGAATATTCCAAGGTCAAGGATGTAACAGATTTAATATTTACTGGGGTTGAGATGACAGCTACAGTTTCTCGGTCTGACAGGTAAGCTAGAAAAACTCAATGATTCGGACGTATAACAAAGAAAAGCAGGAGACGATGCAGTCTAAATTGACAGGAATAAGGAAAGACATTAGATTGGTTTAAGAAGTCAGTTATTGGCAAAAAGCAGGCAGGAGAAAAACTGCAGGACAGGGAAAGTCTTAAGATAAATCTACATGATCATTATACATATAGTTCTGGTTATAAGTGCCTAACGCCTGGCACTGTACACTTTACGTAACGCTGGGTAGGCTATGTGGATCCAAGTGACGCCACAAATTATCCATTAGAATTTCTGCACACGTCGCTAACACCATCTGGAATGCAGCCTCATTAATTGGTTTTGAAAAAAGTAACCATTGTAATGTCAAATTCGAAATCTCAACCCCCAAAAAAGGATTATGCAATGGCACACTGTCTGGTGATTCGTGAAATGCACCGTCATTTTGTTATGGATGACAATTTCAGAATCCAATCATGGAGATATTGTCTTCATTCCCAGAATTGATCTGGCACCGTCAGATTATAAATGTACCAGTTACAGTAGAACCATGGTATACGTCGTTAATTCGTTCCAGAAGGTAGGACTTAAACTGAAAATGACGTATACCAAACGAATTTGTCCCATAAGAAATAAAGGGAAAGGAAAGAATCCGTTCCAGAGGAAAATAAATAATATTTTACATGGCATATTATACATTAATGGGGTTGTATAAAATAATTTAGACACTAATTATGATTAAAATGCATACAGAAGCCACGTGACCGCACGCTGCTGCCAGCTGCGCTGGTCACGTGGCGTGCTTCAACCCCGCACGTCGCGCGCGCTTGACCTGGGGCTCCACCCTCCATGGGGGCAGCCCCCCACGCCCCCCGCCCCTCCCCCCCGCGCCCCCCACCCCTCTCCCCCACGCCCCCCGCCCCTCTCCCCCACCCCTCTCCCCCACGCCCCCCGCCCCTCTCCCCCCCGCGCCCCCCACCCCTCTCCCCCCCCGCGCCCCCCACCCCTCTCCCTTACCCCTCTCCCCCACGCCCCCCGCCCCTCTCCCCCCCGCGCCCCCCACCCCTCTCCCCCACGCCCCCCGCCCCTTTCACGTTCAAGTGGCGAGTTCAGTGCATGTCACATTCAAGTGGTGAGTTCTCTGCATGTCACATTCAAGTGGTGAGTTCACTGCATGTCACATTCAAGTGGTGAGTTCACTGCATGTCACATTCAAGTGGTGAGGTCACTGCATGTCACATTCAAGTGGTGAGCACACTGCATGTCGTGTTCAAGTGGTGAGCGCAGTGCATGTCAGGTTCATGTGGCGAGCCAAGCAATACATTGCCATGCATTACAGACCGGTAACAAAGGACCACAGGTGCTTGTTGTCCACTATCTGGTGGAAGCGTTCCATGGCCGCCACCGTCCAGCACTCTCCGTCTGCGCGGATGTCTGCCAGCGTGCACGGCACCGCCTGGATAGCGCAGCGGCCGCGTGGGGCATCGCCACACAGTCACACACGCACGCAGGCGGTTGTCACAACGGACACCGCATCAACAACGGGGGGGGGGGGGGGGGGAGCTGGCAGAGGCAATGCAGGAATAGTTGGGTATTGGCAAAATGCCCTCTGCAAGTATTTAAAACTTCTCTGATAAATAAAATTGAAAGATTTATAATTTTACCAGTTAAGGCCCACTGTGCTATATAACTCCTATTCAGAAGGGACCTGGCTATCACAAATTATAGCTCAACAAAGTGGCTGACTTATCACATGGAAATGTATAGCAGCCCAATGATTTCAAAATACTTTGAAAAAACTCCCTTTAATTAAATGTACCGTACTCATAATGGCACAACTCCATGACTCCAGAAAGTGGCCGCAAAGCTAGTCATAACGTAAGGGGCCGTGGTGATTTACAGCCAAGTCAGTTGAGCGTGGACACTTAAACCCAAGCCGAAACATCTATATATAAAAGGGAAATTTGTGAATGTGTGTATATTCAAAATGTTTAGCGTACTTCCCGACATGCAACAAACTTGAAATTTGCCGTGTGGGTACTTTCCAGACTGCACACCATGCAAAAACTATAAAAAGAGACTTGTCTTTTTTTTTGGGGGGGGGGGGGGGGGCGCAATAATGGATATATTTTGAACGGCAAGTGAGCTGTGATGTCACATCTCTGTTATGTCACCCGCATGCGGCAGCGTTACGCAGTGTGCCTGCTGACGTCACGCACCCCCCCCCCCAAACCCTCCACGTAGGCCCTGTATCCCGCACAAATGTGCGGCTGGGGGGGGGGGGGAAATAATGGATATAATATACTCGGCTACAAGCTTTAATTTGCCATGTGGCTAGCTCTCATACTGTACACAAAGTAAAACGTTTAAAAATAAGACTTTTGTATTGGGGGGGGGGGGGGGGGGAATCACCATGAAGTGTGTGGCGTCAACCCGCTTACAGGACTGGCGAGAATCAATATCTTGTGAGCGTTTGTGGTATCGATTAAACGGGAATAGGTCGATTCTAAAGAAATCTACAACCTTCGATTCCTTTTCTCGATTTAAAGAATCGAATATTGGCGCACGAGCGTAAGTTTTTATTTCCACCGCGTGTTGGGTTTTATTTTAATTCATCTTCTTGGTTCTTTCGGTAAAGTCACGTAGAAGGGAAGTAATAAAATAATGAAAATAAAACATAATAAAATAATTCTCACGACGTTTCGGCCACAACGCAAGGTCTGTCTTCTCGACAGACCTGTTTCTTCACCTGAGGACGGCTGCTTGCGTTGTGGCCGAAACGTCGTGAGAATTATTTTATTATGTTTTATTTTTATTACTGTATTACTTCCCTTCTACGTGACTTTACCGAAAGAACCAAGAAGATGAATCCCTGCAGTCACGAAAGCTTTAAATCGAAATTTATTTTAATTATTGAGGTAATGATCTAAGTTTTCTTTACATTTGTATATGTTATGTTTTTAAGTTTTAAAATGTATTTTTCCCCCGGGGCAATGCCGGGTACTTCGCGCTAGCAACAAATAAAAAAAAATGTTTAAAAAAATATTTATTTTTATTTTTTAATGATAGAATATAGTATTGTCATCAGTATGACATAATTATACGAAGTTTGCAGTCGATACCACATTGGGAAGTGGGTTAAAATTTAGTTACAAGATTTGAGGATACGATAACAACAACACTGAGTTAATAGAAAGCATGTAATAATGTTTAAAATTATATATATTACAATTTTTAATGATAGAATATAGTATTGTCATCGGTATGACGTAAGTATACCAAAAGTTTGCAGTCGATACCACATTGGGAAGTGGGTTAAAATTGAGTTTCAAGATTTGAGGATACGACAACAACAGAGTGGGTAAATAGAAAGCGTGTAAAAACGGAGGGACCCGGAGAAAATTCCACACGACCATGAAGAGAGAGAAACACGCAAACTCCAAATATACAACAGGCATTGTCAGGGTCGAGATCGAACCCACAACCTGCTGTATACCAGGTGAGGCAGTTAACCATATCCTGACCACTGTGGCACCCTTGACCTTTAGGATCACAGTCTTAAAAGAGCCATGTACTACTGGGGCCCTCATTTCCTTAGCCACGTGGTCATCCTCGACAATGTGAGGTGTGTTTGAGGGAAGTTACGCAATGCAAGGGTGAGCACATTCCTCAACGCTGCTCTAGACACTGCAGGAGAGCCAAGCAGAGATCTTGACCCTGTAAATGTTCATTCTTTCCTCACGAGCGTCAAATGCTGAAAACCTAATCACACTCTTGGAATACCACCGTGTGTGATATAGATTTGAAGCTTTCGTGACTGCAAGGATTCATAATCTTAGGTTTTGTCGGTAAGGTCACGTAGGTAAAAATAAAATAATAATAAAATAATAATAAATGAAAATAACTAAATTAAATCACGACGTTTCCGAGGCAATACAAGTCTCCGTCTTCAGGTGGGACAGTCACAGCCAAATTTACTGCATCAAGTGAAGGGAAATCCAAGAGACAAGATCTTATATACTGGTTAAGGGGAGGCGGGAGGAGCTTATCTAAATGTGGCAGTCAGGGACTGAGAGGGTGGGGGAGAGGGGGGAGGGTCTAGAAGGGGAAAGTACCTGTTACGCACCTCCACAAGAATTACAGCTGGTGTTGACTTCCAAAACCAAAAAATAGCAGCACTGTTAAACACTGGGGATGTCAACAACTCGGTAAAATAGACTAGTGCCAGTCAAATAAGATGGTACAAATATGCGTAGTTAAATCTTTTTTACATGGTTAATAACATCTTTCCAATGATTGCTCAATTTGTACCCATCATCACGGTTGAAGTTACGTCTATGTTTGTATATCTGGATGGCTTCATGCACAAATCTTTGATGGTAGCCAGAAGGTTTGCAGAGCACCTTGGTCTCGGAAAAGACTATATCATTAGAGCCCACAGCGTTGTAACAATGATCAGCAACGGTGGAAGAATCAGTTTTGCCGTGTTTCAGATCTGACTTGTGCTCGCGGACTCGATCAGAGACATGACGTTTCGTTTCCCCAATGAAACAATCACCACAGATGCAACTCAGTTTATAGACTCCAGGGTATTGCAAGTCAGGAATTACATCTTTCACAGATGGGATTAGATCACGGATTTTATGTACTGTACTGAATTGGACCTGGATCTTATGTTTGTTTAGAATTTTGGAGATCATTTTGGTCACGCCTGCTATGTATGGCAACGTGATGGTTTTGATCGGAGTTTCAGGTGGTTGTTTCTGTATGGTGGGAGAAACAGCTTGGCGGATAGTACGGTCAGAGTATCCGTTCATCTTGAGGGCAAGATGTACATGTTTCAATTCACTGGTCAGGTGGTGTTGGTCAGAGATGCAATGAGCTCTGTGGTAGTGTTTTGATGAGATAATTCTTGAGCCGGGTGGTAATGGGAATCATGTTTCAAGTAGGAATCTGTGTGGGTGGCCTTTCTGTAAACAATGTCCCAAGGAGCCATCAGGTCTCATCTCAAACAGAACATCAAAGATTGGTAGTTTGCCATCTTTCTCCACTTCCATGGTGAATCTGATGGATGGGTGTCTGGAATTTATGTGGTCCAGAAAATGGTTCAATGCTGGGAGGCCATGTGGCCAAATAACGAAAGTGTCATCCACATCTCTTCCATAGGGAAGGACGCAGGGTAGACGTCTGGATGGCGTCTGATTCAAACTTCTCCATGAAAACATTAGCTAGCACTGGTAACAAGGGGGGGCCCATAGGGGTACCCTCATTCTGTTTGTAGAAGGTGCCATTCCAGGTAAAGTAAGTGTTGGTGAGGCAATGCCTAACCAATGCAGGTACATCCGAATTCAGTCCATGTTGGACCAAGTCTTCAATTATTGTTAAGGTGTCAGGCACTGGGACTTTGGTAAACAGAGAGACCACATCAAAACTGATGAGGATATAGTCAGGAAACAGTACCATGTCCTTGATCAAAGAAACCAATTGGGTTGAGTTAAGTACTACTGAAGAGGTCTTGCCAGTGAAGGGAAGCAGAGTATCTGATAGAAAACGGGCTAGTTTGTAGGTAGGAGAGTTGATCGTGGATACGATGGGCCGTAGTGGGGTGCCTTCTTTATGGATCTTGGGAAGACCATAGAATCTGGGAGGTCTTGCCGCCGAGGGTTTTAGGGAGGGACGTTTGGTTGGTTCGATTAGGGAAGTCGAACTGGTGATGATCTCGTTGGTTTTTGTCGTTAGGCTGTTAGTGGGATCACTTTTAATTTTGGAGTAACTACCATCATTGAGTAGGTCCTGGATTTTGTTGTTGTACGAGTCTTTATCCATGATAAACGTAGCATTGCCCTTGTCGGCCGAGAGGATGACTATATCATCTCTCTTTTTTAAATTTGCAAGTTTAGAGCATTCACTTTTGCTAATGTTGCTAGTGGGTTTCTTAGCATTCTTGAGAATGGTGGCTATTTCAGCTCTTGCTACGTCCGCTTGGATGTGTCCTATGCCTCTGAGGAATACATCGACCTGAGAAATCACATCCTCGACTGGTATATGTTTAGGGGTGACAGCGAAATTTAGTCCTTTAGCCAGTACCGTTTTCAGATTGTCCGAAATCGGGATGTTACTCTGATTAATAACGGTGTTGTTAACATCCAGCTTTGTGATGTGTGGTTCTGGCTTCTTCTTTGATAGGAGGTTGAATTTAGAGATCAGGTTAGCTTTGCATTTGGCTGACAGTGAATCAGCAGAGGCAGCAATCATGCTGTCAACGTGATTCCAATCAGAAGGGGACATTTTTTGTGTTAGCATTAAATGTGTTTGTAAGAGTCATCTAAACTATCGAGTTCAAATCGGAGTAACCTTATTCTCTCTGAGATTAGTGATAGGCTAGCTTTAAATAAAATCTGTTTTGAGTTCGGTGAAGATACAGCAACAGATGTGAGTGTGAAAGTGATGGGTATTATCTTGTTATCGCGGCATCTCTTGAGGAAGGCTAGCGTCTTGAGAAGCTGTGACTTCCTGTCTCGTCTGTTAAAAACTCTAACAGATAGGTAAAATTCCTCCCCGTAGAGGTACTAGTCGAGGTACTAGTCTATTTTACCGAGTTGTTGACATCCCCAGCGTTTAACAGTGCTGCTATTTTTTGGTTTTGGAAGCCAATACCAGCCGTAATTCTTGCGGAGGTGCTTACATTTAGATTATCTCCTCCCCCCTCCCCTTAACCAGTATATAAGATCTTGTCTCTTGGATTTCCCTTCACTTGATACAGCAAATCTGGCTGTGACGGTCTCACCTGAAGACGGAGACTTGTGTTACCTCCGAAACGTCGCGATTTAATTTAGTTATTTTCATTTATTATTATTTTATTTTATTATTATTTTTTACCTACGTGACTTGACCGAAAAAAACTAAGTGTGTGTGTGATATATATCCAAATAAACAGGGAGGTCAGTTTAATACGTAGGAGGCATCGCGACCAATATCATTCATAAGAGGATTTTTGGGGTTAGGTCACGTAAATATAAATGTGTGGTTAACCCGTCACCACCTGACACATCCAATAATTGGTAATGTTTGTCACGTAAACAAAACGTGCCAATCCGTTACTAGTACAGCACACTGCGTGTGCAGAGTAAACCCGCCACAACGTTTACAATGTGAGTACTGTTATGTTTTGCCGGTAGTTAAATTCAGCCATCATCATCATCGTCGGATTTTAGGTACAGTCCTCTTGTACCATGGGGCCATGTGTGGTGGGTCATAACTTGGGTCAATGCAAGCTTTTTTCATTACCAGCTCTGGCAGTTGTAGAAACGAGTTGCCCAGTTTGCGTATGCAGGACACCGAGGTGCGTTCTGTGTTCCCGTAGTCAACGTATCTCACCTCCACATCTCCCTTTCCTGGTAAACCTACAGGGGGAGAAGTTATGCACAGCAGCACCACAAAGACGATCGCCAACAACTTTCCAGTCACGAGCCTAGAGGCCGACCGAAACTGAATTTCTGGTTTCGGCCGAAAACAAAACCAGACAGTAAGTAAAAAAATTACTTTTGGCCGAAACCGAAAGTTAACTTTTTGGCTTCGGCCGAAACAGAAAATATGGCGAAAGAGGCCATTTGCCAACTTTCAGCGCCGAAACCGAAACCGAATTTCGGTCGGCCTCTAATTAGCAGACCATGGTTGCGGCTGTTACCTCGCTCCCAAGCTGCTGCTGCTGACGTGTGTGTGTGTGTGTTTGCAGCCTATCGCATCGGATTGCCTAGCGCCGTCCGATAAGCAGAGTGAGACGTAGCACTCGCATTATATTCTAAAAATAGATCTTTGGTTGACGAATGATGACCGAAAGTCAATATCAGTATCGGCCGAAACCTAAAGTAAACTGAAAGTTAACTTATTGGCTTCGGCCGAAACAGAAATTATGCCGAAAGAGGCCATTTGCCAACTTTCGTCGCCGAAACCGAAACCAAATTTCCGTCGGCCTCTATACGAGCCAGCTATGTCTATCTACGTCAGTGGTTCTTAACATGGGGGTGCGAGATGCCCTTTCTGGGTCTGCGAGATATGGCCAGATCATTTTAGAAGGTAAATAACAAATTAAGCACGGGTACGTAAGTACAACTACTGTTTCATCAAACCCTATGTGTTTATTAACATATATTTTTTTAACGATTGAGAACCAAAGGGGTGCAGGTTGCGGTAAAGGTTAAGAACCACTGCTCTGGCAGTAACGATGCACAATTTAACACGTAGGCTTTCGCGACCAATATTATTCATAATCAACGTTTTTGGGTTTAGATCGCATTATTTATAAATGTGTCGTAACCCTCCACCACCCGACACGGCCAATCAGTAAAAAAGTGTCACGTTGACAAAAGACAAATAGTTCACTGCTTTAGCCCACTGGTGTGTTGAAGCGTGAAACCACCAGCGAAACGTCGTACTCAAATTGTAAATGTTGTGGTTTCACGCTTCAACACACTGGTGGGCTAAAGCAGTGAACTATTTGTCTTTTGTCAACGTGACACTTTTTACTGATTGGCCGTGTCGGGTGGTGGAGGGTTACGACACATTTATAAATAACGCGATCTAAACCCAAAAACGTTGATTACGATGCACAATGTGAGATCTCATCAAGTAAAGAAAAAAAATACTCTTTGGTTCTTTCGGTAAAGTCACGTAGTTAGAAATAAAATAAAATAAATCACGACGTTTTGATCACAACACAAGCAATCGTCATCACGTGGGGGAGAGCTGCCGTGGCACGAGGTCATATAGAGGCCCCTGCAGCCGATCTCTCCAGTGCTGCCGCGGTGGTCCACTTTACTCCAGTGACCCGGGGGCTGCTGCGAGGTCCACTTTCTGCCCCGCTTCCTTCCCCCCCTACTGCCGAGGCCTATATAACCTCGTGCCACAGCAGATCTCTCGCCTACTTGAGCAGTTTTCTCTTGCTGTGCTTGTCGCACCTGATGACGATTGCTTGTGTTGCGATCGAAACGTCGTGATCTATTATTTTTGTACCTACGTGACTTTACCGAAAGACCCAAATATTATAGTTAATGTACAGCCCCCTTTTATATTTACACTGCTGGATGAAAGCTTCCCCAACTCTTCGTCAATCACTGGGGTTGTTTGACCAATAGCCTACCACGCTGATCAGGGTTCGCTGTTGAAGGGTGGGTTTGGGACCAGTTCAGGCCCTGGTGTTAAATCCATCTCCAGAAAATGTACTTGGATCATTAAAAGTTCATAGAAAAGCATTACGCACGTTCTAAATTACCGTACTCTCTCAAATGTAATTTTAAAGCAACAGTTGAGGGCGTGTCCTGTAATCTGCTACGAAAACTGGCAAACCCCGACGTGCCGAGTTCAAAAACTGTGCTCAGCCCAAGTCTCTGTCACCAAATGGATTTTCACAAAAATAGCACATCCATTATAACATGGATTACTACTACAGCTTGTTTAACAGGAACACCTCGGCAAGTCAAGATAATTTTCCAGGTCGGTACTGGCCAAGATCTTGCAGTAGTAATAATCCCAACTGACCAATGTTTGCAGGTATTTTTGTGAGCGTGAAATGTTTGGCCAATACTATTCACCGTGCGTGTTTTATTTCGGCTACTGAAGAAACGAGAAAACCTGAGGAAAGCCCCGTCCATAACAAGGGGGAAAACATACAAACTTCACATCGAAAGGCACCCTAGTCGGTAACGGAGGCCAGGTGCCTCTTTGCTGCAAAGGCACGAGTGAGTGATAGCGCTGCGCCACCCTGCCACCCAACATCCATCAGTGTCTCTGAGACGGTGGCGACATTTTAATTCTCAAAGTGGAGAGAGGAAGAACCGCTGTTGAGTTTCCACGAACACATGGAACACATTTGTTTATCAACCCCAGAGCACCGATGGGCCAAACAGCCGCAAAGCCTTGTCCAGACAGCACCGCCAAGCCAGTTTTTTTTACAGGAGTTTAAGATAATCAATTTATTTAGCAGTTGAGTTGTCTTCAAAATATTCTTTAAAACACACAAGTATATCGAATTATCACGCTTGTCAGCATATTTGCACGTGAAGCATCTTGGGGAGGAGCTGTTAATGCACGGAGCTACGGGTAGTAAACCCAGCGGACCTGCGTCTCGAGCCATGGCCATGTCTGTCAGTGGCGAGTAACGTATCCGGTCCGGTCCCACTGCACCAACCTCCATTCCCCAGAGTGGTAAAGTATGGACGAACAAACCCCTTGGCCTAAAATGGCGCGACAAGGCTGATACGCTAACAGATTAACAAAAGCATGTAAAATATTATATGGTTGCTTACAGAATACAGCAAAATGTAAATGAAAGATACAGCAAAACCTTGGATTGCGTGTAACTTGGTCTGCGAGTGTTTTTCAAGTCGAGCAAAATTTTTAAATAAATATTAATTTGATAAATGAGCGAGGTCTTGCAATACGAGTACTGTAGTACGTACAGTATACGCTTTGTCTGCCGAGCGTCACGTGATCACAACTGAGCCGATGGTTCTTCTCTCTCGCTGCAGGATTGTGGGTAATCGTCTCCCATGCTCGGTCTCAGTCGGCGTGCCCCACTCATAGTCAACATTCATGCGAGCGTATATTGTGTCCAAGTGTAGTAACTGTTCCTTTAGTAACTGTGCTGCAAGTGAAGGTTGTCCTACACAATAACCCTCCTCTCCTCTCTCTCTCGTCTCCCTCACACCAGCTAGGATTAAATTTAATGAATAAATTTGATTACTTTATATAAAATTTTAATAATAAAAATATAAAAAGGTAGTTTGTATTAATCATTTTTATATTAATCTTTTTGGGTTGTGGAACAAATCATCTGAATTTCCATTATTTCTTATGGGGAAATTCGCTTTGATATACGAGTGCTTTGGATTACGAACACGTTTCCGGAACGAATTATGCTCGCAATCCAAGGTTTTACTGTATTAGGATACAAGGTGGCGAGATGTTAACTACCTTACCTTGTATACAGGAAGTCGTGGGTTCGATCCTGACCCTGACACCTGCTGTATATTTGGAGTTTGTATGTTCTCCCCGTGGTTGCATGGATTTTTCTCCGGGTCCTCCGGTTTTTCCTCTCCACATTTACAATCAACATCACGGATTTAAGAGTGTTTGGCTGATATACATTTAGACATGATGAGCTATAATTTATGATAGCCAGGTTGCTATTGAAAAAAGAGCTATATAGCTCAGTGTGGGGGCTTATAAGTTTTATAGCTTACATGCTAACATGCTTAATATTAACCCCATGTACCAAGCCAATCCGTGGCATTAGCGACTACCGGTTCCGCACATACCGATGACCTGGGCACGGTACCACTGCTGGTCTGCGCTGAACTGGGCAACACAAAGCTGCCCCACAATGGGATGCACGACCGTCCAATCATTGCGGTCGTCCCGGTAGAAGCGCTGCAGAGCGCCCTTCAGCTCCAGCACGCACTTCGTCGTGCTCACCTGGAAACCACAAAAGGCAAAGTATTGTTTTACAATGCAAAGCGAGTTAAAGCTAGAGCACAGGGCTCTAGTGAAAAACCCACTCCTTATACCAACTACAGCTGATCATCGATTATCCCCAGCATGATTATCCAGCTTCCAACATCATCCTGCAGTCCCAGGCCGATCGGGCAAGACCGGCAAAACCACTCCAATGGTTGTAACCAGTCCGGCAATCAGCACCGTGTGCGTGACAAAAAAGTAGCTATGCTTGATTTCAGTGTCAAATATTTATACAGTACATTATACACTGCATACAACTTAAATAATGAATATACTGGACGTATATACATTTTTCATGACTAATAACTACAGCAATAAAAATAAAAAATATACACAGTGCGATCTGGCAAAAAGTGCGTTGTGTAATTCGTCATTCACCAGAGCACCGGTCTAAAGCAGAGGTCGCAAACGAGTTTTGATTCCTTACCCGTACCCGGCCGCACCAGGGTCACAAATGGGTTCCCGAACCCGTACCATTATAAGAGTGCATGAACCATTAGCTGATCGTGAAGACATTGGTTCTCATCGAGTGATATGAATACGGTCGTTTATAAGTACTTCAGTCGTTATTCTTCTTTTTAATCGTATCAAAATTACCAATAGATTCATCGATGTAAGTGTAGGGCTGTTACAGAGGGGCTGTTTGTGTAGGGCTGTATGCATAGGATCAAACGGGTAACAAACACAGTGGGCGGGGCTCCGTCAGTACACGGGGAGGTGCCCGCAACGACGTCCGCACCGGGCGGCTTGGGGGGCTGCCCGGGGGGGGTTGTGATCCTCTGGGGGGTATAAAAGGGGATGAGCCGGAGAGCTCGGGGTTCAGTCTTAGAGTAAAAGGGGGAAGACGGAAGATCGACTAGCTAAGCCCTGGACTCCCCTGGGACGCCGCCCTTGTCAGGGCCGCGCAGGACCGAGCCAGTGGCGTGGTCCCGTGAACCAGAGTTAGTACTCTGGGACTCCGGGTACCGTAGCCCGACTGACCAGTGTCGGGCCAGATAGCCTCCCCGTTAGTGGAGGACTAGGGATAGGTCAGGGGTAGCTAGTAGAGCATTCCCAGCTATCCGGGTGAGGGGGCCGATACACCCCTCTAGTATTGTATGTCCGCAGTGTGACTACTTGTACAAATAAATACGTGTGCCTTACAACGGTGTCCAAGCGTCCTCAACGGTACTTCATAAGCTAAACGTTTGAAACCTTCGTTACGAATCTACACGCTCACCGGGAGAATATGGTGTTAAACCTTTCTTTTGATCTCAGAATCTTGCCCACGAATTAATTGAAGCCTTAGCGCAAGATAAGCATCTCACATAAGCAGGCATACATGGTCGCACACATTGTCCCAAGACATTTAGTTAATTATATAATCGTGCCGATGAATCTGTTGACGTATACTTTTGCCTTCGGGATATACTGATAATCTTTTTATTGCCTTTCGTATGAATATCGTAGCATGCGTGTTAAGGACTTTTCCTATCGCTGTATATGCTCGTGTTACTCGGTGGAATTAATCAATTGTTCGGTTGCCCATTTCAACAACGTATTGATGGTTAAATGTACGGATCAATCACGGGAATTTCCCCAGTGATACTGTGGATAATTCCAAGCATGAGAGTTCGCGTATTAGAGTGTTATGTTTTTGCTTAGAATTAAAATTGCTTAAAGAGTCTGAGTGGTTTCTGCCTGAGTTCATGCGTAATAATCTTATTTAAAAGAACTGTATCCTGCGTTGAGATTTGAATTTGGAGACCTGACATACACACCAAGACATAATCATTAAATGTTAAAGCGAAAATAATTGTATTATCCCGATTGATAATACAACCCTAGACAACGAAGCCGGGCTTAATTTAGCATAATTACATCACACTTGGATAACTTCATACTAGTTGTATTTTTCCGATTGATAATATGACCCTCGATAACGAAGCTAAGCCTAATTATAATAACCAAATATATTTGTATAATCGCATACATTTGCATAACCAAACACGATGATATCCCTAATTAGCATAATTACATAAATTAGCATAACTTTCGATAAATATACGCTTTTTTTTCTTCATTTTATTGTTATTGTTTTTATTAATTTTTCAATATCCGACATACACAACAGCTCCTGAAGCAGGATGTTATATAGGTTTGAGATGGGTGTAGCCCAAGGGTAAGTGGGCGGGGATGGAATCTGCGTATAAATATGTAATAAAGGTCGTTGAAGCGACTTCTGGAATCCGGTCTTTATTCGTCTTTCATTACAACACTCGTTCACGCTGCTGACAGACAGCGTGAGAGGGATAGGAAGAGAGAGATACGTGCAGCCACGTGGCAGCCTGGACCCCCCGCTCTCGCGTGGCCTCTTCCCTTCGTTCATTCCAGTTCTGACCACGTGTTTTTCGTCTCCACCCCTGTTTAATACCCGGGTCACGTGGTACGTTTCCACCAATCCTGGTTAGCCTCTATAGAATCTTCCAGACTCCACCGTAGGCTCCCAGGACCATAATGTAAGATTAGCATGTCAATCAGCAGCTCATCCGCTGGTTTTTTTTTATTCCTGCAGTCATGAAATCTTTAAGTCAAGATTTAACCGCCTCTATGGGGAGGGTTTCCACACAACTATTAGATCTTTTAACAAACTTCGAGACAAGAAGACTCATCTGATCAAGTCGCTCACTTTTCTGAAGAGATGCCGCGACACTAAGGTAATACCGATCACCTTTACACAAATCTGCTGCTGTTACTTTTTCTAATGCTAAACGGATCTTGTTCAGGGCCGGCCTAGCCCTGATCTCGAGAAAATAAGATTGCTCCGATTTGAACGAGACAATTTAGACAAGACACTCTTGCAATCCCACTTAACATTGACGGAAAAAATGTCGACATCTGATTGATAACATGACAGCCTCTTCAGCTGCCTCAATGTCAGCTAAATGCAAAGATTTCCAAGTTCAACCTCCTGTCCAAGAAGAAGCCAGATCCACACATTAAAAAGTTAGACGGTGACAAGATTGTTATCAATCAGAGTAACAGCCCAATTTCCGACAGCCTAAAATCGGTTCTAGCTAAAGCGTTACATTTCGCAGACACCCCTAAACACATCCCAGTTGATGATATCATTGCCCAGGTCGACGTAGCCTTTAAGGGTTTGGGACACATTCCTGCAGACGTGGCAAGATCGGAAATCGCTGCAATCCTCAAAAAAGCTAAGACACCTATTAGCAACATCAGCAAGGATGAACGCTTTGAGCTTTCTCAACTCAAAAAGAGAGATGAGATTCATCCTCTCAGCCAACAAGGGCAATGTCACTGTCATCATAGACAAAACTACATACAAAAATACAATTCACGACCTACTTAATGATGACAGCTATACCAAAATCAATAGAGATCCTACCAACCGCCTGGTTACGAACACCAACAATATCATCAATGATTCGACATCTTTAATGGAACCAAACAAGCGGCTCTCTCTAAAACCCTCTGCTGCTAAACCACCCAGATTTTAAGGCTTACCAAAAATCCGTTAAAAGGTACACCGCTCCGTTCTATCGTCTCTACCATTGACTCACCGTACCTACAAAACTGGTCCGATTTCTGTCCGAGACCTTGCTTCCATTCACTGGCAAGACCACCTTAGATGTACTTAACTCAGCTCACTTGGTATCTATAATTAAGGACATCTCACTATCTCCAGGTGATTTGCTTGTCAGTTTCGATGTAGTATCTTTGTTAACATGACACCATTGCAATCATTGAAGATTTGGTCCAACAAGGACTGAATACTGATGTACCGGCCTTGGTTAGACTGCCTCACCAACACTTACTTCACCTGGAATGGAATATTCTACAAACAAGTTGAAGGTACCCCAATAGGTTCTCCCTCATCTCCAGTTGTAGCCAATGGTCTGCACTGAACTGCCATCCAGGCATCCACCCTACACACTTCCTTGTGGACCGCACTGCCAGGACAAGCACGATGAGACCGCACTGCCAGGACAGGCACGATGAGACTGCACTGCCAGGACAAGCACGGTGAGACTGCACTGCCAGGACAAGCACGGTGAGACTGCACTGCCAGGACAAGCACGGTGAGACTGCACTGCCAGGACAAGCACGGTGAGACTGCAGTGCCAGGACAAGCACGGTGAGACTGCACTGCCAGGACAAGCACGGTGAGACTGCACTGCCAGGACAAGCACGGTGAGACTGCACTGCCAGGACAAGCACGGTGAGACTGCACGGCCAGGACAGGCACGGTGAGACTGCACTGCCAGCACAGGCACGGTGAGACTGCACTGCCAGCACAAGCACGGTGAGACTGCACTGCCAGGACAAGCACGGTGAGACTGCACTGCCAGGACAAGCACGGTGAGACTGCACTGCCAGGACAAGCACGGTGAGACTGCACTGCCAGCACAAGCACGATGAGACTGCACTGCCAGGACAAGCACGATGAGACTGCACTGCCAGGACAAGCACGGTGAGACTGCACTGCCAGCACAAGCACGGTGAGACTGCACTGCCAGCACAAGCACGGTGAAACTGCACTGCCAGCACAAGCACGATGAGACTGCACTGCCAGGACAAGCACGGTGAGACCGCACTGCCAGGACAGGCACGGTGAGACCGCACTGCCAGCACAAGCACGGTGAGACCGCACTGCCAGGACAAGCACGATGAGACTGCACTGCCAGGACAAGCACGGTGAGACCGCACTGCCAGGACAGGCACGGTGAGACCGCACTGCCAGCACAAGCACGGTGAGACTGCACTGCCAGCACAAGCACGGTGAGACTGCACTGCCAGGACAAGCACGATGAGACTGCACTGCCAGCACAAGCACGGTGAGACTGCACTGCCAGGACAAGCACGATGAGACTGCACTGCCAGCACAAGCACGGTGAGACTGCACTGCCAGCACAAGCACGATGAGACTGCACCAGAGGTGGGACAAAGTCATTGTT